AATGAGCGGAATCATTTAGAAATCGAACGACGACAGATTACCGTCATAAACATACCTGAATAGTAGCTCTGCGTAATTCGAGGTCTCATCATGATCATTGGCTTTACTGATGAATTCTTTTAAGAGCAATATTAATAGCGTAGCATTAAATGAAGCTCTAAAATAAACAATTCTGTAAGCCTTGAATATTGATGCCGATGCACTGAACAAACCTTTGATGAGTTCGCTCGGTCAAGCGTCAGCACCAGTCAAATATTGGAAGCGCTGTGCTGTGCATTTATATAAACAGCTGGTTATCATAGATCACATACTTACCAACATATCGACGAACTCCCAATTATGCCTCTGAACTCTGTAAATGTAAATGAACCCTAATTAAAATAAGTTCGGCCACTCCTGAAGAAAGTATGTTGGCTTTTCTAGGTGCAACAAATATGTTAGTAAACATATGATAAGATTTCAGTAGTTTCCGTAATTGATATATTCATAATACAATCAATTATCGTATATTCCTTTATAGTGCTTTCAGCAATTTTTAAATGAAGTTTCATGCTGTGAGCAGTGTATCCCCGTGGAAAGCCTTTCTATAGTGTCTAGCAGCTTAGTCCACCGCAAAATAATTAATAAATCTCCGACTATGACTCTCTATCATGATGAGTTAAACTAGATTCAGTAGAAACCACATTCGAAAGTCGATCGGGTCTACATGAATAAGCTAATTTTAGTGACCATAGCTCTATCAGTTGATAGCTTCAAGAGAAGTTTTGACGAACACGCACTCACCAATGGATTACAATTTTTCTCTTGAACCGGTTGTGTTTGACGCACGTTTACAAATTGCCAGGACCATCACTGCCGCATTTCAGCAACTACGCTCTAACTTTCTTATTATCATTTTCTTTCTTGAACTTATTTGTTCAATTTCATCTTTGTACACAGTACCAATTGAGTAATATATATTTCTTCAAACAATCTCTTCCCTTAGCACATGAAATCTAGTTTTATTATTTTGCACTACAACCGACCAACTTTGTGTTTGATGATATGACAGCTGCTAGTATCCAGGATCCCTACTGAGCTGAGACAGAGACACTCACCCAAACCATTATGTGAACAAATCCTCAAAAATCTACTAAACTGACTAGAATTAGTGCAATCTAGTAGATGGACTACCACACACAAGAAATTAACAAATACATAGGACAGTGCTGAATCAGAAAGAAGCAACAGCAAAGAAATCAGTCAGTTTGTACGAGCTCGCCACAAAGACACAGGTTCAGAACTAGTTTCACAGGTTCAAAGTTAGTTTCAAAAAGGGCAGTGATTTTTGTACTTGTTGTCATTATACTTGCTTTTGGTACTTATCGCACTAAAAAGTATTCTTTGTCTACTTTATCTAAGAGTACTTTGGTTAAAGTTTGAAAGTTTTTGCTTAATTTTGTCCTGAGTACCTGTTTTTAGTCCTTGACTAACACTTGTGTTCACATTGTCATCATTTTTTGTTTTTAAACCTTTTAAATCGAATTACAATGGTTGGTAAGACTCACAAATGTGGGCAACCAAATTGTTTGTTCTCCGTTGAGGAGGGAATGCAGTGTGACGACTGTAAAACGTGGTATCACAAAATGTGTACACGACTAAGTCCGATGGCTTATAAAAGATGCTCGAAGCCTAACTCGTATTGGCTTTGTATGTTCTGCTGTACGGATAAAAAGGTACTAATACAGAAGGCTATGGGCCTATTGGCTTTGGCCTGCAAGAAAAACGATGGCGGAAGCACTGATAACAGGAGCACTGACGATGAAGAATGTGTCAGTGTAGTATGTGCTGCTACTGGACCCATTAAACACCTGACTGCGGTTGACGGAAACGTGAAATCTCCGTTGACATTAATGAGAAATGAAGTGTCGCTTGATATTGACATCGGCAGTCATACACCTCTAGTCGAAATAGAAGATATGGATAAAACTGTCACCGTTCCCCATAGTCCAGGTGTGGCTGTTCTGAGTGGTGACAAATAGACTTCGGTAAGAAGAAAAAAAAGAAAAAGGCTGTAGGCAAAACGCAGCTGGTCAGCAAGACATTGGAAGGGATGTTATCAGAAGAAAAATCCTCACTGCGTGAAAAGACAGATCTCTCTGATAGATCAGTCATTTTTCATAAGATAAGAGAATCTTCAGATACTGAACCAAAGGCAAGATTTGAACATGATCTCAATCATATTAAGACATCATTAAGTAAACTACTCCCAGATACAGTTTCAGGAGTTAGTATTTGTAAGCTTTATAGAATAGGAAAAAAGGTGGATTCCGAAAGTCCTCAGAAAAACCGCCTCGTAAAGGTCACATTCAACACGGTGGAAGAAAGGAACCTGATTCTAAGTAATTCACGTAAACTGATTGGATCTGAAATATGTCCGTGAGGACCTCAGCCTAGCTGATAGTATTAAGAGAAGAGCTGCAGAAGCGGAAATAAACGAGCGTCGCCGAAACGGTGAAAGAAACCTCGTTCTTAAGGGTTTTCAGATTGTAAAAGTTCGGAGCAAAACGATCCCCAAGCCACTCTGGGTGGCAAGGGAAAGCTCTCCACAGACTTAAAAGTGTGCTACACAAATGCTCGCAGCCTACTAAATAAAATGGCGGAGCTGAAGTCAGTGGTGGATAAAGAAAAACCGGATGTTATCGCTGTCTCGGAAACTTGGTTAACGTCAGAAATATTAGATAGTGAAATCCAATTGACTGGTTTCATAACCAATAGGGCTGATAGATTAAACCGAAGGGGAGGTGGGGTTATTGCGTACACGAAAAGTACCCTAACCATAAGATTGGCTGAGACAGTAGCACATGTTTCAGGGACATGTGAACTGGTGAGATGTAAGTTGAAATGCCGAAGGCAAGATATTGAATTAGTTGTAGTTTATCGCAGTCCAGAATGATTTTCTCCTCAGTAAACTTAAGTCCTGGTGTAACAACGGTAAAAGCCTTGTAGTAGGCGACTTTAATACACCATATATAAACTGGGTTAACTTAGAAGTAGAGTCATCTATATCTTCGTTCGACTCCAAACTGTTAGAAACCTCGATTGGACTAGCATTATTCCAACACATTAGAGATCCCACAAGATACGACTTAAGAAACTCTTCCTCTCTTTTAGATTTAGTCTTCACACACGGTGAGGACGTTGGTCAAACGGCTTTTCTCCCACCACTTGGGAGAAGTGACCATGCAGTCATCTTATTCAAATTCATGGCTGAGATTGCTTCTCAAACAATTGCGCCGGCCCGTCCTAACATATGGAAGGCAGATATGCAGGCAATTAACTCCGCAGCATCGTCTGAGAACTGGGAAATTGACTCAAAGGCATCAGTACAAGAGGCATGGACTCTATTCAGGCAGTTATACAATCGGGTAACTCAACCATACATACCCTGGACTGTCCCAAAGAAAAAGAAGCACGGACATCCCTGGATAGAGCGGGATATTCGACGCTTACTAAGACAAAAGAAGAAATGCTGGGATGTTGCCATCCGCCTTGGCACAGCAGGTACGATTGAACATATTGCCCAATATATCGCAGCCCCACTGACTGTGATATTCAAAATGTCACTTGACCAAGGTGTGTTACCTATGGACTGGAAAGACGCAATCGTCACTCCCATACATAAAACAGGTCTACGACAAGTTCCATCGAATTACAGACCCGTAAGTCTCACCAGTGTTGTAATTAAAATACTGGAAAGAATAATCAAACGGACCATAACGGCGTTTATGGAAACCAATAACTTGCTGAACATGGCACAACATGGTTTTAGAAAGGGTCTATCCTGTACAACGAACCTCCTTATAGCTAGGGAGCTCTGGATTAATGCGCTAGACAACGGAAACTCAGTGGATGTTGTCTACATAGACTTCAGTAAGGCTTTTGACAAGGTGCCAACTAATAGACTGCTATTGAAGTTGGCAAACCTTGGTATTGCCGGACCTCTTTTAAAATGGATTAAGGATTTCCTAGTAGGTCGTAGGCAAAAAGTAAGAATCAATTCCAAGTGCTCCATCTGGAGACCAGTACTTAGTGGAGTACCCCAAGGTTCCGTCTTAGGTCCTTTACTTTTTATAATGTACGTTAATGATCTTACAAGTATAGTACAGTCTCCAATGTTATTATACGATGATGATGTAAAAATTTGGCGAGTAATAACTGGAGACAAAGACGCATTTACTCTTCAGGCGGACTTAAATAATATGATAAACTGGTCTAAAGAGTGGCTAATGCCTATCAACTCGGAAAAGTGTGTCTACATGCACTTGGGGGATTCAAAGGTTAATACGTACAACATAGGGGATGTGTCATTACCCGTAGTCCGGTCCCATAAGGATCTAGAGGTGACAGTGAGCAATGACGACGGCCCATTGCCGGGAGGTCGCAGTTAAGAGGTTTCGAACCCTCTGGGCTTTAAAAAGGACATTCACTAAGCTTGATACTACCATGTTCACCACATTATACACATCCCTAGTGAGAACTAAGTTAGAGAACTGTGTTCAGGCTGCAAGCCCCTGTTTAAAAAGGGACTCAGACATACTAGAAAAGGTACAGAGGGCAGCTACGCGTGCAATTCCGGAACTCCGGGGTTTATCATATAAAGAGCGGCTTGAAAAACTGAACCTCTTTACTCTGTCCTATCGCAGACTAAGGGGAGATCTAATATTGATGTACAGAATACTGAGAAATAATTTCGGACCTAACTTATTCTCTCTCTTTCTTCCCACTAGATCGGGACACCTCAGAGGGCATAGCAGGCGAGTAGAAAAGCCAAGAACGAACAAAATACCCGTGGCATACAGGTTTTCACACCGAGTCATCAATACTTGGAACCTGCTGCCTGAAGCAGTGGTGTCCGCACCTTCAATTGAATCTTTCAAGAGAAGACTGGACACTCACAGAAGCATACTAGAAAAGTAATAACATAGGCCGTAGGCCTTCTGTCCTTACTACACAAATCTGAATATTGGGAAGCGGCTAGTCCAAATCTATCCCGTATCTCAAGGTTAGACATCCTACGTTTAACATGTCAACAATCTGTAATACGTAACAAATAGTTTCTGGGAATCTGTACATAAGTTGTCTAAGTTAATGTTTATATATACAAAGGTACTGGAATTATGTTGGTACTGTTGAAGTTGGAGTAATTAAAACAAAAATTCATTGCTGAATTAAGAATAGTGATGAGTAACAGGGTTGATATTCACAAATACGAGCCGAAGATATATATGTACAAAGGAATAGAAGAATTAGCCGATCATAAAGAGATAGTTAAAATGTCATCAAGCTGCTATTCTGTTGTCCAATGTTAACCTGTAGTAGGGTTACAATTTTAACAGCTGAATTATCTAACTTCTCAAAATAAAAAAAAACTGTAACAAACCAATAAAAAGGAAAAAATAGTAATCCAAAGCACTTAGACTTGTTGGGGCCTTGGTCAACGTATTGGTAATTTGAGCTTGGGAGAGTATTCGCTTTTACTAACATCATTTATTGAGCAAGTAATATGCATGCTTACTCAATGAGAAAATCTGTGCAACAATCTGTTTCGTGTTACTCTCTGCGCTTCTCATCTTTTTTAATTTGATTCGCTTTCTGTTGCTTTTATATTGCCGTCTGTTAGTATTCTTTTCATAGCGGCAGTGATGTGAGTTTGGTCTACTATGAGACGCCATACTAGACTTCACATTTACCATTTCTGACGAGACTACAATTCATGAACAAAACAATGGAATTAAGGATAGCAAGTTTCGGATCCCGGCGTGAAAACCATCCATCTATATAATTAAATTGCATTTTGGGATTATGCCTGATGTCAGTTCGTGATGGAAACTCTTTATCTAATTCCCCACCCCGAATTCCAACTCTAAATCATACTATTAATTTATAACCCTAGTAAGTAGGTGAGTTGCCTTAAGGTCACTTGAGCGTTACTCGAAGATTGTTCGTAAGTTGTGGCCTCACTATATTTGATTTGTAGTGGTGGGAGCAGTTACCGATATTTAGTAGAGTGATGCTCACAAATGATAATAACAGATAAGTGTCCAAACAAAGGTAGCTAGTTGTCTAAACAGCTAAATCCCCAGTTAAAACGGTAGTAGGGCAACACATATGTGTATATTTTACTATCTTGAAGTTTTACTGAAAATTGATGTATTGGGTGCTTACATTTTGCTTGCTTATGGAATGAAATGTATTCCAATAAATTTTAATGTGCAGTATTTTTTGTAATGACTAGCCCTACCTTTTTCTTCGTTTTAGCTGCCTAGTCTAGCAAAGGGTAGTTTTTTCTGAAATGCTGATATCGAAAACATTCATTTGTAGGTAAGTTGTAGACTTTCATCTTGGTAGATTAGAAAGAAACATGAGTCCATATTATTGCATTTCGAAACTATAGGAAGACCTAATGTGCTAGAAATAAGAATAGCGAAAACTGCCTGTCCAAATGATTTGTACCCGTGCAAATAGATACTACAGACTGCTGCTTGTTTTGCTTTTGTCCCATTTAAGACAGTTTTTCAATATTGTTTAAATAAAGGTTATCTAAAGGTAGAAAGCTGTTAGGCTCTTATAAATTAACTAGATTTTAGGAAGATATTGATAAATGGGGTCTGTGAGACTTCTTTTCATTTTGTGATTTAAAGTCTTCTTGCGAAAGTAAAGTGGCTTTCATTCCAGCTTTTAGTTTATCAACTTAGTTTGAAACCTACACACAAATGCTGGTAGAATTAATGTTCCACACGCTGTACTTATACATACTTTTATTTCCTGTTTGAAAAAGATCGTAAATTTCTCAGGACTTTTATAAAGGGCTTAAAGTTGGTCTCATCCCAACACTACAGTTCTGCCACGAATTTTTCAAGTATGTATTTCCTCCGAAACCATATAATTGAGCAGAACATGCAGCATAAGTCTTCTAATAAGTACTGACACAGACAATCAGCTTTTGATGCTGTACACTACATAATTTGATAGCAAATCCAACTGCAGATGTCTTCCAGAAGTTTGGAGAATTGATGGACATCCAGAGCTATTATTGTGGGTTGTGTTGTTTTTTATTACATATCTCTCTCATCTAAGTGAAAGGCAAATCAAGAATATTTGAGTGGAATTTTGTCTCAGAATACACGAGCGCCAAATTTCGATGTGTATTTTATTCTTACAGTTCATTCTCAGAGATTATTTCTTTACGTTGATCGAGCTAATAATCGTCTGTTGGTTAGTGAGTGATCCATCTGTAAGCGTTTAGACTATAGTGTAGGCGTGCATTAAAATCGAGAAAACTGCAGTGCAGATAATCCATAGGAGTACATCGATGTCTGATGTAACAAAAAAATTGTTTAAAGCAACTTGAGTTCTGTACGAAAGAAAAACATTATATCCATTAAGTTGTGAGCTACATCTATTATGTGCTACTTCATTCGTTACAACAAGTACGAACCTTATTGTACCACCTTGTAGGTGGAACAATGATCACTAAAACTATTTCGTCACTAAATATGCATGGCGATGTTGCTCAATAGTTTTGAGCATTGTTTCCAACCGATGGATTACATACTCGAGCCTAACTTTCTAAGGTTCATGGGACTAAATTGTATTACTGGACTTCACACCATAGATGTAGGCTATATTCCAGTAAGTAAATAAACAGCATTATTTGTTGGTAACTGAATATTTTTGTCACGTATTCACAATTAATTTAATGTTAGCCTATATGCTTTTTTCTAGATCATTTCAAATCAATGCAACTCGTGCTTATAGGTTGTCGAAAGAATTGGTGGAAAGGTATTTTTATTTTTATTGAAATCACTTTAAAGTGGTGAGTCAGCTATAACTCTTTCTCCCGATGGAGCAGTCGTCGTTTGTTGGCATCCAGTCAGAAAGGTTCCTTATGAGTGTACTAAAGTAGGTTTTCTTAGCCTATCATTTTTTAGCCTATTTCACATAACATTAAATCGCTACGTACTCCAACTTCTCCTCTAAAAATCAATGTACCCGATACAATCATCAAAAATTCTGCAGAGCCTACTGTAGTAGAACTTTCAAAAGCTTTCGGTGTTCCATGGTTTCATTTTCGACCTAGGTATGTTAGTATACTACACGATATGTGTTCTTTATTCATTCAGGAGAAGTCAAAAATCTCATTCACCTTACTTTTGGGCCCCACTTAAAGAACGAAATAACTTGTAAACTTTGAATGACAAACATATTCCAATCGCCAAAAAGTTTCATAGATTAAAAAGCATTAGTTTTTTGTCGTATATCTTCACTTTGATGTTTCAATGCTATTATAAACACACACTAGTAGTATTTTAAGATATCTTGGACATATTCCGATTATACAGTTTAAAGTACGATATTTTTAAAAGGATTGTACATAAGTGTGACGATAGAGTCGCATATAGAGAAAATTAGATGATAATATATAAATGATATTTTAGAGGAGAACTAACGAATCAATTGTGAAAGTAATAGTAGCAAAATAAGAGGACATCGCCAAGCAAAATAAAATTATGCGTACAAAATTGTAGCTTCAGTTTTTATGAAAGATAAAAGTGCATGTTATAGCTCAAATTTATGATTAAGTAGGAATCATCTTACGAAGCCTGTTGGTGATCTAAATTTTCGGTTTGAACTCGTCGAAATCACAGTTATTAAGCTCGAATCGTCAGTCATAGTGCACAATATTGAGAAATTGTGTTCTTTTGATTAAAACAAAGGAAAAACGAAGGTAGTTTACAGAACGTGATGCTGAAATAAATAAATAGAGATTTTAACTTCATGATATTATTGTGTTTATCTTCCATTAATTTCTTGTATGTAAATCAGTGCAGGAATAACACTGTTGTGTTGAAATTTACGAAAGTCAACTAATTTGTGTTTTGGCAGTAAGGTTACATTCATTTCTTGGAATGAGGCAGTCGAATCGCTCCAAAATCAACAAAAAAGTTATTCTTATGAAAATCAACTGAAAATTTATAAATTGCTAAGAAAACTTGTTTTTATAACCACAGGGTTTCAATCTAAAATAGTTTACATTTAGATGAAAGCTGACGACTAGTCAAGTATTTTTCCCGTATAATTCGTGTAAAACTTGTGGATTTTAAAGGGTGATGGTTAAAATATGGTTTAAACTAGCGTACTATGTTTAAACTCTTTTACGAGTCAGTTCAATGTTCTGAAGTCAAGGGGTTGTAGGTAGTCGACAGGAAACCCCGAAATTAGTTTGCGCTCGTACTCAAGGGAACTGGTGCTCCTTGCGGGATTCAAACCCGCGTCACCTAGTTCTACAACTTGAGACCTTACCGTTGAGTCATTTGAAGGGCTTAAACTAGTGGCTGTATTGCAACTTGATCGATATAATTCGACCAGGACTAAGGAACAAAATAAATATGCAATTGATCACTACTCAATGATTAATATTCTGTCTGATGTTACTGCGACCGTTTTTCTTTTCGCAAATCGATATCGAGCGGATAATATCGCAAATTAAGTGAGAGGGGATAGAATTTACATTATAAATAGACTCCTCTGATATTTACACCTAAAGACTTACAAAGGTTAGAAGTAACACTTATAGTGTTAACCGTGCATCATTCAGTGAAATTCCGAAAATTGGTCTGATAACCAGGGAAACGTAAGGTTTTGATGCAGCGTTGGTAGCTGTTATAATTTATCAGTTAAAAATTTGTCTCCAACGTAAGCTTCTTTTGAAACGTCTGAATAACTTAACAAGTCATTTGTCCCTGTGACTAGTATACTGAATAATATGTTCCTAAAATCTTACTTGCAATTTTCGTATACCCAGTACATAGTGAATGTGTGTATTTTCTTAATATAGACAATGGAATTCCAGCTATCCTAATAAGTCTAACCAACTTCCAGCGACTTGGGTTTCTTCTTATCGGTTAGTTTACGGTCATGATATCCAAAATAAGCTGCTCTTATGTGAATATGCTTTAATAATGCCTAAAGTTTAGAACTTATATAACAGTCGTATTGTAGGTTCGGTGAATAATAATGTCATTTAAATTTTAATCAATGTTATCTAGTCTTACTTTATTTAAATTAGATGATAACTGCTGTTCTGAACCGTTTCGGTGTCGTTTATCAGTGGGTTTTAGTGGTTGAGAACTAGGTTGCACACTTTGCATCGTTGGATGACATTCATTCTTGTTATAATTCGATACAGTGAGAGTCTTGGAATGACAATGTGAACAGTAAAGCAAGTTACGTCGAACACGAACTTCCACGTCTGATAGACCATCGCCTAACGCAATTCCACATCTTGCACATACAAAACATGGTAAATGATAGTATAGATTTAAGGATTCAATAACCATTGAGTCCTCAGAATCTGTGTAAAAAGTAAATGAAGTAAATCATTTTAATCGATCTGCGATGAAAGAGACTGTTAATTTATACACAAACTAAACTGTGGATGTTTATAATAGCTATGGATAACTCGAAAAACTGAAACCCAGCTGGGATCTCTAACGTTAGTATCTGTACTGTAATTGCTGTTAAATATTTTGCGGCAGTTAGGAATGTATAGAGTCTGACGAACACAAAGAACCTTAATGTAACAACGGACTTTTGTATGTCATTAAATAATACAGGGGTTAGTTATGGCTTGATTTCTCCGGCATCAACATCTCTATTATGCATACTGAAATAGGAGACCAGAAGTGTTTATTCTAGATAACAAACCTCATTTTTGAGTGGCAACAAATAAACAAAGACCGCGAGGTTATTACGTTTGGTTCAAAATACTCAAATTACAAAGGTTGCATGTGTCAACAATCTAGAACAAAAAACGAACATCGTTCGAAAAGAAAAGCATTTACGGAGATAGAGTTTTGAGATTTAAAATGTAGACAGGTTTCTTAACTTTAAACACAGGAGTCTCAAATGAAGGGTGTTGAAATATGTCCCTATAAATGTTTTAAATCTTTATGAAAACCTGAAGTTTGGTATCAAATATAATTGAGGATAAATCTTAACGCATACATTCTGATAAAAGCTTAAGAATCCATAGTAATCGAATCTTACAGGCCAAGTGTAAGGTTGTTATTCGTAGAGATTGAAAGTACGCATGAAGTTTTTTCAAACTGTCAGGTCTACTCTTAATTTTTTGGCTTAACAGTCGATTATTGTTCAGACCATTTTCATCATCTAGTTTCCATATAGTAATTATATATTAGTAGTTATTTCTAAACGAACTTTTTATTTTACTCAACATAAATCTCGTACAATTACTGAGGTCCTCAAAAAAAGCAGCTAAAAAGAGGGTTAAACCAGGTGATTAGCAGTTTCGAGTCTTTTAATCACTAGTAAACCACTTGGTTCAAATACTATGGAAAATTTTTGAGTTCTTGTAAATGCAGGATTTGTGCAGACAAAACAAACAAGTGTTACACAGGATATAAAGTAGGATGACCGGCAAATATTTTAGTTGCAAGAGTTGTGGGAAAATGTACCAGCAAATAAGTGATCCTCAGGAAAGTAGCTCACTACAACTGGTAAGCTTGTCCAAGCTACAAATAAAAGTTATTTTATCTTACTTTATTATTTTAGCTCATAACTAAGCACTGTCAGGTTTATGTGATGGCATAAAACTATTATTGATTCTAAAATGTAATAGATAAATTGTTAAGCATATGAACAAAATATATCGGTTTATTGAGATTACCTAGTTTGGAATTACACGCCGCGCATAATTGATTAATATCGATTATTCGCACGCGTGGCGTCCGAGGGGGAATTGGTGGTACTTCAACCTCCGAATTTTCGCAAATTTGATGTGCTGGCAGTGGAAATTTCTCAGTTTCATCAGAAGACCTGCAATTACAAGGGGAAAAGCAACAGCGTTATAATAGTATTGAATGAAAAATCAATTCGATTTTTTTCTTTTCGATCAATCAAACAATTTCGTGTGATTATATATATATATATACATATATATAGCCAGAAGTGAGATGCTAACAGTTAGCATTCTAGACAAATTATTCTTATGTGACGACGACCTTACATATATGTTCATTCGTCGAATGACTATGTGATTAACAATATTGTGCTATTCAGTAGCGGTGGTTTGGGTACTTGGCTCTAGTTTTTATTATTATTAATGGCTTTATTCAATATTATATTTTGGTACAATATAGAATTCTCAGCACAGGGTATTTCAACAAGTTACTTACTGAACAACGAACAAAAAGGTAGTAGCAAATACAAAAAGAAATAATAAAAAAAGTTTCTAAAAAAAATAAAAAATTTTTAAAAAAACTGTACAAACTTTTTAAAATTAAAGACATGTTAAGAATGTAAGTTATTGACTACGTTAATTCTAACAACCTGTTCGTCACAGAGTATATATACTCAGTAAGGTATTATAGAACCTTTATACTTTTCCTTGCGTGCATGAATTTTAATGTAATTACCTCCTAACAATCCGGTAGAATTGAACCAACTTCAAATTAAATCGGCAATAGCAGTTCATGCCATTTTCAACAACCACCAAATCGATTTTAAAAATATCAAAATATTGCAAAAAGGCTTTTCCAACTACAAAGAAAGGAGGGTAGCTGAGGCGTTCCACATAATGCTTAATCCTACTTCTCTCAATAGAAAAGAAGGCCTTACCATACACCCTACGTGGACCATCTATCCTAACCATTCAGTCTGATCGTATTTACAATTTCACACTTTCATATTACAAATTTAAACTCTATCCTTTCTTACCATAAAGGTCACACAAGTTTTCATTCTTAAACAATGTACATATACATACACACACAAATTTACATACTTATCACTTATGAATCAACTTGACAGAAATGACATGACATCAACTTGTTCAGACCTGTTTTTTGATTGATCAAATATTATTCTTGCATTGTTCCGTTGTACTATTTAAACTTGGATCAATTTTAATTTGGTTATTTATTCTCTGAAGAAGTGACTTACACTAAGCCACGAAACGTCAAAAAATCCAATTTTCTACTCCTTGGGATATTACAAATATATTATTTTTATTTATAACAATCAACCCAATGCTCAATTTATTCGAAATTATCAAATCAAACCTTGGTAATGACACCTACAAACTCATTAATAACCGTATCAAATTATCCAAGTGTAAATGCAATTGGTACAATCACAGAATATTTAATAAACGGTGTTTACAAGACAACATCATCCCTAAATCTTGTTATAAAACCTCCAGAACGATCCTGGAGATCTATCCAGACGTCGCAACACGCTTCTCGAATATTCTTACGAGAACGCATTCACAAATGCACACATTTACTAGAAAAATATCGTGAACGAATCAAAAACCTTGATGATTTACTGAAGCTTTTAATCCCGATCGAATTACAAACCACGATATCCAACCTGTTTATAGAAAGAGAACTCCACTATTTAAAGTCCTCGAAACACCGACAAATTAAAAAAATTCGAAAACATCAAAGAAAAGAAGAAAGATAAGAAAACATCAACAATAAAATACAATTTGAATGATCTAAGAACAGTTCATAATCTCTCCAACAGAAACTTAAACAGTCACGAAATCACTCTACTAGAGAAGGGATTAAACTTCAATTTACACAGAAAACCACTTAGCACTCTTGAAATCGCTCCGATTATAGAACCTATGATCGCACAACTACCGGAAAAAGAGTCGCATTTACTACGTCAAAAGACATCCCATATTCTGACGAAACAAAAACACATTACCCCAAACATTTCAAAAGAAGAATTGAAGGCTCTGAATTCACTTAAAAAAGACAAAACAATTATCATCACTAAAGCCGACAAAGGCAACACAACAGTAATCATGAATAAAACAGATTATATTAATAAAGCTCTTGAACATCTCTCAACAGGACCTTATGAAAAGATCAATCCAAAAACTTCTCTAACGATTAAGAATAAAGTCAAATTAGAAACAAATCAACTTCTGAACGAGCTAAAACCAATCATTGGGGTCCCGCTTTGGTTTGCTTTGCATCCCAAATCATGTAATGTCTCACGGTTTTATGGCTTACCAAAAATTCATAAACCAGATATTCCTTTAAGACCAATAGTAGACTTCACAAACACCCCAACATATGCACTATCGAAATATTTAAGCAATATATTAAAACCATTACAACTCAACTTACATAATATAATTAAAGACACATATGACTTTAAATCAAAATTATCCGGATTAATCATCGAGAAGAATGAAATCATGGTAAGCTTTGATGTCGTTTCTTTATACACAAGTGTTCCCATTGATAAATGCTTAGAATTCATTAAGGGTTTACTTGAGAACGACAATACTCTTCCTGACAGATGTCCGTTGAGCATCAGTCTAATCATGAAATCATTAAAACTTTGCTTAAATTCAACGCTATTTACTTTTAACGGTATTTTATTCAAACAAACTAACGGAGTAGCAATGGGATCCCCCGTGTCCTCGATTGTAGCCAACCTTTTTATGGCATACATAGAATCAAATATCTTCGCCCACAACATTATACCACGAATTTGGCTTAGATATGTAGACGATACATTTGTGGTTATAAAAAAGACTCATCTAAGATCTTTTTCAAAACGAATTAATACACTCTCATCGCAAATCAAATTCACCAATGAAAATGAAAATGCTCATGGTGAGCTACCATTCTTGGATTGCTTAGTAAAAAGAAATCCAAATGGAAGTCTAAACTTATCCATTTATCGAAAGCCGACGCATTCAAATCGTTATATTGACTTCCATTCAGCACATCCTTTCAGTGCTAAGATCTCGCTAGCCTTAAATCTTTTTAGAAGAGCTAACAAGATCATCACATCAGAGGAAGACAAACAAAAAGAACAAATGAATATAATTAGCACCTTACAATTTAATAATTTTCCTATGAAGATTATTAGAAGCATATTAAAACAAAACAATTTATTACATTATAATAAGGTTTCGAATGAAATGCCATGGATTGGTACTGTAGTTCTACCATACCGTCATGGCACAACAGAAGAAATTCAAAGAATCTTAAAACACCACAGAATTAAAGTGTATTACAAAACAACGAACACACTACGTAATACTTTAGTTCGCCTGAAAGAAAAAATCCCTTTCTTGTCCACACAGAACTGCGTTTACAAATTAGGTTGTATCGATTGTGATGCCTATTATATTGGAGAGTCATCCCGCGAAATCGTGACTAGAGCCAAAGAACATATTAGGTACACAAAGAAACCTCCTAACAATCCGGTAGAATTGAACCAACTTCAAATTAAATCGGCAATAGCAGTTCATGCCATTTTCAACAACCACCAAATCGATTTTAAAAATATCAAAATATTGCAAAAAGGCTTTTCCAACTACAAAGAAAGGAGGGTAGCTGAGGCGTTCCACATAATGCTTAATCCTACTTCTCTCAATAGAAAAGAAGGCCTTACCATACACCCTACGTGGACCATCTATCCTAACCATTCAGTCTGATCGTATTTACAATTTCACACTTTCATATTACAAATTTAAACTCTATCCTTTCTTACCATAAAGGTCACACAAGTTTTCATTCTTAAACAATGTACATATACATACACACACAAATTTACATACTTATCACTTATGAATCAACTTGACAGAAATGACATGACATCAACTTGTTCAGACCTGTTTTTTGATTGATCAAATATTATTCTTGCATTGTTCCGTTGTACTATTTAAACTTGGATCAATTTTAATTTGGTTATTTATTCTCTGAAGAAGTGACTTACACTAAGCCACGAAACGTCAAAAAATCCAATTTTCTACTCATTGGGATATTACAAATATATTATTTTTATTTATAACAATCAACCCAATGCTCAATTTATTCGAAATTATCAAATCAAACCTTGGTAATGACACCTACGTAATTACGTCTTGTTCTACCAGAAGATATACAAGGAGAAAGATAAGAGTGAAGGGGATGGCTAGTATCTGATAAAATGACACCTGCCAGGAGTTTGCATGATTTTAAATGTCTATACACAACCATATTAATTATGACCTCGAAAGATTCACCACACACCTTGCTAACTGCCTTCAGCACTCTTCGCAATACAGGAAAGTCTTTTCTCAAAAGCCCAGGAAAGAATAATGGAGAACAGTAAAGAATAATAGGTAATATGCAAGAATTGACAAATTGTAAGAGTAAATGACGAGTAATTCCAAGAGCATGCAATCTCTTTATGTAGTAGGTCAGACGGAAGACCTTCTTCGATAACGATAAGACGTGGGAAGACCAAGAGAGATCAGAGGAAAAGGTGACACCAAGATAATTGACCTTCGACACTGAGTTTATCAAAGAGTCTCCGATGGTACAAGCACTATGGGATCTCAAAATAGTGTTTATATTCCGTTCATGTCTCATGCTAAAGTTAACAGCTTGACATTTAGACGGATTAAGTATGAGACCATTACCAACAGACCAACAATCAATACGAGACAAAAACTCATTCATTTCTATGGGATGTAAAGAGGAAGATATAGGCATACGAACAGTGAGATCATCCGCATACTTCACAAAAGTGTTTTCTGTGGAAGATGGCAGGTCATGCAGAAAAAAAGAGAATAGAAGAGGTGAAAGAACAGCTCCTTGTGGTACACCTTCATGAGACAGTAGAGACTCTGAACTCTTTCCTCCAAACACAGTGCACTGTTCCCTTCCAGAGAGAGGTTTACGTTTAAACATCTACTTGCAGTTAGTATTAAGTCGATACATTTATGACCCTATGTGTAACTGAACCTCTTTAGAAATGACGTTACCAAGGTTATGTATGACTAAATAATTAGCGCAGTAAACTGCCTAATATTTAAGTCAGTAAGATTAATAAGCAGATAACTGAAACTACTGAAAAATGACTAAGGTCTGGTTAAAAACAATAATTTGTTCTATATGGATTTCGCTGATAAAATATTACAATGAGACTACAGATTCTATCTCTGACAACAAAGACATACAAGAACACAGATCAGCTAACTTCTGGGATACAAATATACGACAAAATGTACTGGTTACACTAACTGACACCCCACATACATTTAACAAACTTATATTGAGCTTACCTCAAAGCATATTTAACAGATGATCTTTCAAAACCGTGGTCATTAACAAAATCTTCGGTGATGCTTTGTTTATCATCACCATTCAGTGAACCTTGAGGTAGCTGTTTCATTTTAGTCATCAGTATCAATGCATCAGGTTGTGGTGAAGAACGAATGTTCGAAGTGTTGACATAAATATCGGATTCTGAGACACGTAGGGACTTGCTTTTTGTTGTATCGGAAAATGAATCGGACTTAACTGGAATCGTTTGGTTACTTGAACTGAAGATGGATGGACGTGATTCAGATTCAACAGTCGTAGTGAATCCACTAAACTGGGGTGCAGCACGAGTTACTTTAGGAATAGGCCGTGGAGGGACATGGGGTCGGAAGGAATCTAGTTGTTTTGATTTACACAAATCTGTAGTATATAGAGGGTAAGATTGTGGAGGAACATTGAACACTGAATTCTGTTTATAGTTTGCGGGAAACGAACCTCGAATACCAGATATATGAGAGGGAATATCATCCCATGTTTCAGGCAGTTTGGGATGAATATGGAATGTTCTCTGCTTTGATACATGTCTTGTTTTGGGTAACGACGAAAGATGCGAAGTCGTTTCACCTAGAAATGTAGGTGTTGATGTGGGGGAATCTCCAACAATTTTTGAAACATATGTTACCTCTTGTCCAAGTGATCTGTTCACAGCAAAGTGTTCTGGACGAGTTATTTTCTTATGTATAAAACCAGTAGGCTTAATATCCTCCAAAACAGAAACAGTTGGCTGTATTTGATGGGTCATTTGAATGCTTGGCTAAAAGTCAAGGAGGTAATAAGACGGGTTTAACTTCCAAAAACACTATGATGTTTCTAATTTGCTGTACAAATTCAACATTCTACAGCTTATAAGTGATGTATCTTGTTATATAACGCACACAAAAGTTCTGAAATGTCTTAATGGTTTGTTATTTCCAAAGCTTTGTGGTTTACACAATTTTACTGAACCGGTCACCATACGATAAAGAATAACATGCTCAAACCTTTAATAGTTACATATCAGTGTGATGATTAAAACTAATCTGGAAATAATTATCAAGCCTAATAAAATGACTACAAGTTCAAAAAGTATAGCTGTGAAACTTCCAATCATATGATTTAACCTACTTAGTTACTTCACAGATGATATGCTGAAGGAGTACCGTTTCAAGTTGTAGGTTATTCTAATTGCCTGGTTAATCAAAAATTGTCACAACTAGTGATTCATAATTTGATTTCATGTTTTCTCTTTATGATCTTTAAATTTCAGTTTCACGATTTTGGGATTGATTGATCAGTTGTAAATTGGATTGTCTACAGTTGATGAGACGCCGTGAAATAAAATGCCAATTTTAATTAAAATCAATGAGACTCTGTAATATATAATGTGTACGGAATTTTAGAACTTTTATACAGATATTTTCAGTTCTAAAAATCCTGTAAATATACATTAAAAAAGCGACTTACAGATAGTGTGGATGCAGTTACCAATGAGAAAGAAACAGGTTCCGTTAAAGTTACTTCTACATTTTGTTTATGATATAAAGTACTGTTGCAATTTGCTGAATCCGATGGAGTTGGTGTATTTGATGATATATCAAATTCCGCAGGATTTGAAACTAATGATAAAAGAAAATCATTCGAAGTGATAGCAAAACGAAACGAAAACTTTGAAAATAACTACAGTTGGATTTAAACAGTGTTAAATCTTTAAATCAGCTAGATTAATCCATTTCAGGGACACTTGAATGTCGAATGCTAAAAACGTATAAATGTTGTAAAATCTAAAATCAATTCTTCTAGTGTATATATATTTTGAGTTCTTTTGAAAATTAAATGTAAATTAAAACTCACAGGGACCATATTTTTAAAATTCATTCCTTAATGCAAAATCTCGGGGTGTTAATGGCTATTCTTCACTTTATGTACTACAAAACATCTTTAATATCAGTTAATTATTCTTACGCTGAAACCTTAGTAGCTATTCAATGATATAATATTAGCTGACCTTTCATCTAGTATTAGCGCCAATTTTCTACCGGGAACATTTAGTTATGAGTTAGAATTAGTGATGTGTTCTGAACGGGCGTTTTCACATTTGTTGTGAAACCCGAAAGAAATCGATGGAATTAAGCTTAACCAGGATGCTAGGTAATGTTATAGCTGTTTTAAGAACACATTCTTTTTTAAACAAATAAGGAGAGTTCAATGTATTCTGTAACCTGTCGAGCTGAAATATTTAATAAACTTGACTCGGAAAGTAATCAACCACAATGATTTTCTTCCAATCCAATTTTACGCATGAACTCTGTTCTCCTTTGATTGCTTGCCGTTAATTTTAGTCCGTTTATTTTCTGCATCCTTGAAGGTCATGCTATCGTTACTATATACACATTTGCACAAATTCAAGATGTTCTGCTAGAATATCAAGTTTTTCCAACACTTCATCTTTTTTCCTGTGATAACGGGTAATTGTTGAAGTGCAGTGTACTAATTGCGGTTATCAAGTCCGCAACAACACTTTACAAATAAAAATAGGTGAATCGCTCCTTAATTCGCAAGTATCGTGGACCAGTGGGAAGCCTCAATATACTCAGTTGTTTATTAAAATGTAAAAAGATACACAACAACCATACCGTTCTTATCACTACTTGGCTTTAGATAGCTTAAAGATAACATAGATATTACTCGAACAATAATTCGAGGAAATCGTAACATGTTTTACCAAAGGCCATATACATAGAAAACAGAGAAATATTAAGGAACAGGTACTAAAGATGTCTTTACTTGAATCAGAATTTTTGACAGAAAAAGAGAAATGAACCGTATCTTTCAAAGTTAATTGTCAGAAAGATGTTGATTTTATTGTGTAACTGAACTTGATCAACAAACAAGATGATAAAAATCGATATTTACCCGTTTCTTCATGTGCATTTCAATAGTACTTGCCTCGAAAAATCACATCAACTTTTTCTTAACCAAAGGTTGAATTAAATGAAGAAACTGCATGAAGATATTTATAAGATATTAAACTTTACGCCAATACATAGAAAATACACTGAGATTTATTTAATTACTAAAAAAGATTTTAGAACTGTCGAAAACTAACAGAATAAAATGGTCAAGGTTAAATACCAACCTGTCGTCGAAATAATTAATAACATGAAAATTATCAAACCGATCTGGTAATTTTTGTATTCAATAATGCTTTATTCAACAACACTCAACTGGAATGCAAAGGCTGATTTATTGGTTCATACTTATGAAAACACATTTGTGTGAGAAAAACTAACACGGGATTGGATGGAACTTGCATTTTTTTTCATACAAATTCGATACACAGAAATATTAGTCGTTATGACACGGTTATTTAATTGAAAATACCACTGGTATAACATATAATAATATACGTATTTTCACTAAAAGGTATGCTTACACCAATTAAGTGACATAGTGATCATACATGAACACGATTCATGTCCTCAAAACACATTCATTTCGATAATTTGACGAAGATAACATACATTTAAGTGTCTCTTTGCGCCTAATAAAAATGCATATTTGATTTCAGAAAAAAACCAAGACGTTTTAAAAAAAAATCTAGGACAGGAGGATTGTTACCCCCCATTTTAGTAGGATAGGTGAGTTTCTAAAGTTTAAGGAAAAAATGCTGCAAAATATTAATAGGTTGAAAAACGAGACAAATATTAAGGTAATGACATGATAAAAACTTTATAAAATTGTTTGCTTTGCTCAATAGCTGGTAGTAAGTGATACTTAATGTATGACTGATGTTTAATCAGAAACTACTATCTTTTAAAATCTCTTTAAGCATGTAGAAACTGTTTGAAGGACTTACAGGTAACAGGCACATTAGGAGCGATAACCAATTGAATATTTGTGACCTATATAAATCTTTTGTGTGTCAGTCATCTGATTTCATGCTCCCTATATCCACAGGCTTAAAGAGTAGTGTAGTGAACAAGAACACGGGCGGGGACAATCGAATGTATTTAGCACAAAAATTACAGACCGTCTCAATAAAATGTGAATACCATAAAATCAATCGTCAATTTGCAAAATATCATTCCATCATATCAAACTGTACTGTTCCCGTTGCAAACACTAATCCATTGTCTCCCATTCCATTGTACATGCGTTTTCTTACAAATTCCATTGTGCTCTCGCTCTTCCTTTCTTGATCTTCGCCATCTGCTGCCGGACATTACGTTCTTTTAACGCACGTTATATACTACTTATATCAATATAAGTAGCTCACAACACAAATAGTACTGTTTAAATCATCACTAAAGCTGATGTCCGAAGATGTCTCTAGTCACTTAACTCTTCCCAATGTTTAGGACCTGTGGAAATCAAAAACCTCCTTTCTAAAACGTTTGCTGATGTTCTGTATTATCCATTTAAGAGCATCTTAAACAGATCCTTCTCAACTAATCTCATACAGAAAATGTGGGTAAAGATATAAGTAATCCCAATACCTAACAAAGTATCAGGGCGATGAATATGTGAAATTTAGGCCTATAGCAATAACTTCACCATTTCTCAAAACAATGGAAAATTATTGATGCTCTCAATTCAACTTACATTAAAAAAGCACATTGACTCGTATTCGTTTTCTTAGAAATTCAAAAGAAGTACACTGGATGCCGTTGTTGTTCTGTATCATGATATAGTGTTAAGCTTGGAATGGGTAAGAAGTATGTTCGATGAGATTTTCTAGACTATACTTCTGCCTTTGACTATATTCCAAGACAACTACTTATCCAGTTAATAAGCGTCAACACTGACAGCTGGATAACCAACTAGCTATGTTCCTACATGTCTGGAAGAGAACAGTACACCGTGTTTGGAGGAAAGTGTTCGATCTCTTTACTGCTGTTCTTTTTCCTCTTCTTTTCTCTTGTTTTTGCACGGTCTCCCATCTTCTACAGAAAACACGTTTGTGAGTTATGCGGACGATCCCACTGTACGTATGTCGATTTCCACCTCTTTACATTCACTGGAAATGAATGAGCTCTTGTCTTGTATGGAATGGTGGTCTGTTGTCAATGAGCTCACACTTTTCCCGTCTAAACGTCAAACTGTTAACTTTAACATGAGATATGAACAATACCTAAACACTCTGTTGGAATTGCATAAAGCTTATACTATTGGGGATTCTTTGATAAACACAGTGTCAAAAGTCATTTACTTTGGTGCAAGTTTTTCCTCTAATTTCTCTTGGTCATCTCATGTTTTGCTGCTATCGAAGAAAGTTTCCCATCTGATTTACTAAATAAAGAGGCTGCATGCTTTTGCGATTACTCGATATTTACTCTTAAAATTTGTCAATTCTTGCACATTACCTATTATTCTTTATAGTTTTTCATCTTTTTCTTCTCAGGCTTTTGAGAAAAGACTGCTGTATTGCAGAGAGTGCTGATGGTGGTAAGCAGGGTGAATCTTCTGAGGTCATTAATAATATGGTTGTGGATAGATATCCAGAATCTTGCGAACTCCTGGCAGGTGTTATCTTATCTGATACTAACCATCTCCTCCACTCATATCTTTCGCCTTGTATATCTTTTAGTAGAACGAGACGTCAATACTTTAGAATCCATGCACGCAAGGAATGATATTATAGCTCTATAATATTTTATCTAGCAAATATATTATGTGACGAACAGGTTGTTAGAGTTCACCTAGTCAACAACTTGTATTCTTAAACATGTTTCTAACTAGTAAGTTGTACAGATTCAAATAATCTTTAAAAAACATTTCATTTCATTCCGGGTAGTTTATTTACTTAACTTAGGTATATATTATATATGAAGTTATCAGTTTCTTTTTTTTTTATTTTTTGTAAAAGAAACTTTTCAAAAAACCTTGTACTGAGAATTCTATATTGTACAAAAAATATAATGTTGAGTAAAGCCACTAATATTAATAATAATGAGACAGTCAGGCAACACTTGGTCTATGTATAAGACATAGTTGAGACAAATTAAAATATTACATTAGGGATCTAGTATTGTTCAGTGTTAGTTACAATTGCATTTCAATAATCTACACAAATTTGCACAATCTATCGAAAAAGATAAAACGATGAAAGCAGATGCAGTGCAGTATTGTACAATTGTTAGAAGTTCAATGAAAGATAATGTATATTCAGAAATAATTGTATATTTATTACAAATATTTACACATTATACATAGATTTATTTACTGTACACTAATCAGTAATTCTTTCATACATACATATATTTCAATAAAAACAGATATTCCAATTAAACTAAAAACTATGACAAGCAAAAGATCTCTTTCTACTCAGCGGGACCAATGATGGCGATGACGATGTGTGTCTGCTTGTATTATTAGCAATCATCATTTATTTTAAAAAATGTGTCTTGGAAAAGTATCACTTGAGTTTGTCAAAATTCGATACAATTAATAGACGCATATTAAATACAAGTACCAATCAATGAATTTTTAATTGCAAGAATAAGTATAGTGAGTGAATAATTTACTTTCAAATAAAGGTGATAAACTTGTAGTGTCGGTTATTATGTTAAGCCCACATACCTTATTCTAGCTTTCAGACAGCCCATTCTATTCATTC